TACCCACCTACCGAGCACTGCGACAAAAAAATCAGTCGTATCTCATCTATGACGGTAGGCTTAAGTGGCATTTCGAAATGTCAGATAAATGCAATGCTGAACTAAGAAGTCGCCCCCTCTACTTCGGAAGTAATATTTCCTGTCTATCAGTTTTGCAGTCTGGTTAGTTTAAGCTGCTCGATTTTAAATTGGATCGACCATTTTCTTCAGAATTTGGGCTTCTCATCTATCCCTGCGGACCTAACTAAGCAGAAAGCCACTACGCATATACCGTTTAATTTTTCCCATTTACGTTCTAGATCCACAAAAGTGCAATCGTACTTCCCGGAGGGAATGAGTAAAAGACTAACTCCTTACAGTCATTGGTCGCTTTCAAATTTTTATGACTGAAGAAAGAGAGTATTTTAACTGAGGCAATTACGCAATTAGTCTAACCGCACTTTTTGTTATCGTTGCTCTGTTTCAGGGAAATCTCACAAAACAGGCGTGGTTTCAGGGTCTGGCTAAACAAAGTGCTTCCTTGGAAAGCCGTTTGGCGAACACCTGTTTTAGGTAATTCATCATCATCAGACTACTACAGTTACATGGAGAGTAAACTAGTGAGCTGTGGACAGGGTTTACATGCGTCTCCGGGGGGGCTGAAGGTTCGGTTACACTCTTAATTCCCACGCCGCATGTGTGCCAGGTTTAGCGTGTTGAGGTCATTGGAGCCGATATGTAAACGCTGTCTCTATGTTAAATGCTGGTGGTGCATATGAATGGAACTAGGGGGTTACAGCGGAGTGCCATCACCGCCTAGAGTTGGTCGTGGAAGACAGACTACCTGGATATGTGTCTTCTGAAAACAAAAAGCTGGATTCGCGAACGGAATAGCCACTGCCTTAGGTGTTTCTATCACCCGTTTGAGTAGACCTTTAGAGTAATTTGCTGGTGTGTCCGATGGACAATTTGAGGACGAGGTAATTCTCGGAAAATGGGTGTAGATTACGATTTTCTAACCCTCCACTCAAAGAGTCAAAACTGCACTCCTCAGCTATGGGGAAGGGTTGGAACAGTCAACAGACTGCTGACGTGATGATCAAGTGTAATTATCAAGGGTTGCCTAAAAAAGGGAGAGAATTTGTTCTTATGTTAATTTATAAAAACGGTCGTGAAAAAAAAACCAGAGAAGTAGAAATAAAAGTTGCCCAAATAATCCTCTTTTTATGATGGGGCATAAAAGCGGTAGTAGACTGGAAATTGCAGTTTCATCTGAACGTCGAAATATGCTGGAGAAAACGTGCACGGTGTGTTATTAAAACGATCTACTTGGAATGGTTGTTTTAGTGTGTAGGAAGTAGCCGAACGTTTCTCCTTAAGGTAATCGACTTTAAGTTGGTTTTTTGTGACTTGTGATCTATAGATTTCCATTGGATATGAGTAAACGGGGCTAACTCGATTTTAGTGCTCATAACTGAGCAGTTTTTATTAATTATGCGGTGAAACTGCTTGCTGTATGTAGCAAGAAACGTTTTTGTAGTTTCCTCTTATCTGGGATCTAGAAACGGAAAGCCACAAACGATTAATAGTTCTCGCAAAAGCTTAGTATATCCTTAGCCCATTGAATCCGATTATTCACCTCCCTTAGGGTACAAAACAGGGGTCGAGGACGTAT